CTCAGACGGAACTAATAGTGTTGGTCGAGTTTTTTAGCACTAGTTGAGGCAGAAATTTTGTGTTAAAATGTATCGCTAGTCAGATTTATCGTTAATCGATGCCATCGTTGGTTGAGGGTCCACAGTATTTCTTCAATCGTCTAATATCTTCGGAATACCCACCCGACAAAGAAGATTTTGTGGGTGAGGGGCTTGGACTTAAAGCAAGTGTGCTTGAGCATGTTAGATAGGAGTGAATGGAGACGAATGGTTTTTGAGACCTGACGAGCTGTTGGAGTGTGAGCAGGGTAATATTTTGTGAAGGGATTCAGGAAAACCGGTTAGCCGGACTTAGAGTCCTGGAAATGGGGAGTACAGTGCCTACACTTTAAAGGAGGGGTTTATGATATTGGCAGTTTGGAGGGATGTTTAAACTGTTTATCTGAGCGCCTCTGCAAAGATAGCGATTATGTATTAGTGGTGGTGAAAGTGTTGAATGATGATGCAAGTTTTTTCTTTCTTTTTGGGTCACCCTGCCTCGGTGGGAAATGGCTAATGTGTTAAAAAAAAAAAATAAGGATTGAGGTGTATAAATGGAAAACAGGAATAAATAAAGGGAATGTAAATAGCATGCTAGAAATATCTGGCCAAGACAGGACTTGCAGCAATGGTTTTAAGTTGGAAAAATTCAGATTCAGGAAGGAAATAGGAAAACACTGGTTTGGTAATAGAGTTGTGGATGATTGGAACAAACTCCTGAGTACTGTTATGGAAGCTAAGATGATGTGTAATTTTAAAAATAGATTAGAAAAATACATGAGTGGGTGTGGGTGGGTGTGTGTTGGACCTGACTAGCTTGTGCTAATAGGTCTGATGCTATACTCCTTCCTTAACCCTTAAACTGTCCAAACGTAGATCTACGTTTTTTCAACATTTGAAAGCGGTATGTAAAAAAAGTAGATCTTCTTTTCTTTTTTTACATTTGAAAACGTGTAAAAAACTTTGATCTATTTTTTTTTTGTTATATTTGAAAATATGTAAAAAAAAACGTAGATCTACTCTTGGAGCACTACACAGTTTAACCCTTTGAGGGTTTTGGTCGTACTAGTACGTCTTACGCGTAGGGGTTTTTGTCGTACTAGTACGCATAAATTCTAGCGGCCTCAAATCTCACAGGAAAAGGCTGATAAGCCTAGATGTGAGAGAATGGGTCTGTGTGGTGGGTGTGCGCAGTAGGAAAAAAATCTGGGACCCAGTGGTGCATTGTGGGAATGCCATCATAGTACACAATTTCCACCATGCCCTGTGGTAAGAAGTTCCTCACTCCTCGGCGAATTGGGACACTTTTGTTCCCCAGTGACAGTTCTAATACAGATGGAAGTGACAGTGAAGATGAGTTTCAAGGTTCTGGTGAGGTTTTGACCGAAACTAATGACCATAATATGGGTAATAGTGAGGAAAACCCAGACAACCCACAGCCTTCCACCTCTGGTGCTGGGCCATCTTGTTCACGTTCAGTTGTACCAGAATCAAAGAGGAAACTCCTATTTTCCAAAATCCCAGACTCAGATGTGAGCATTGGTGATGATAGTGATAGTGATTATGAACTACAAGCTCTTCAAACTTGTTCCAAGAATGGAGGAGGAAGAGGAGGCAGAGGAGGAGGAGGCAGAGGAGGAGGAGGCAAGAGGAGGAGGAGGCAAGAGGAGGAGGAGGAGGAGGAAGAAGAAGAAGAGGAGGAGGAGGAGGAAGAAGAGGAGGAGGAGGAGGAGGAGGAAGAAGAGGAGGAGGAGGAGGAAGAAGAAGAGGAGGAGGAGGAAGAAGAAGAATACGTAATGATAACAATAATACATAATAATAATAATACATAATAATAATAATACATAATAATAGTACATAATAATAATAATAGGTAATAATAATAATAATATGTAATAATAAATGTTCACCCCTGACAGTAACAAGATAAGGGGAGATAACATCTGATAAGTGCTGACGTTTGATGAGGGTAAATGAGGGTAGAGCTGATGCCAAAAGATGAGATAAACATCTCCCTCCCTTTGTTTTTGCTGGTATACTAACATTTCTGTCTGTCTATTTGCCTGTCTGTCAAGCTCCCCGTCTATCCGTCTAGCTCTCTGTCTCAGAGAGCCACAAGACTGTGTCATCACTTTTACTCATCTTCAAGCAGAGTATAGCACTTTGTCTGGGTTTCTTGGGTTATCCTAGGTAATTTATACTATGTATACTTGTATTTATGTGTACCTGTGAGACAGAGATAAAAAGACAGATAGAATGAGGGAGAAAGATAATTAGATAGAATGGAGGAAGGGAAGCAGCATCCTACCCCATTGTTTTGACAGGCGGGAGGGGGGAGTGAGTAATGAGACAATATGTCATTTTGACAGCTGCCGACTCCTGGTAATTTACACTATGGAGGAGGAGGAGAAGGAGAAGGAGGAAGAGTAGGGGGAAGAGGAAGAAGAGGAGGAGGAGGAAGAGGAGGAGGAGGAAGAGGAGGAGTAGGAGGAAGAGGAATAAGAGGAAGAGGAGGAGGAAGAGGAATAGTAGGAGGAAGATTAGGGGGAAGAGGAAGAAGAGGAGGAGGAGGAGGAGGAAGAGTAGGAGGAAGAGGAAGAGTAGGAGAAAGAGGAAGAAGAGGAGGAGGAGGAAGAGGAGGAGGAGGAGGAAGAGGAAGAGTAGGAGGAAGAGGAAGAGTATGAGGAAGAGTAGGGGGAAGAGGAGGAAGAGGAAGAAGAGGAGGAGGAGGGTGGAACACTAGTACACTGGTACTGGTACACTAACATTTCTGTCTGTCTATTTGTCTGTCTGTCAAGCTCCCTGTCTATCTGTCTATCCGTCTAACTCTCTGTCTCAGAGAGCCACAAGACTGTGTCATCACTTTTACTCACATCTTCAAGCAGAGTATAGCACTTTGTCTGGATTTCTTGGGTTATCCTAGGTAATTTATACTATGTATACTTGTATTTATGTGTACCTGTGAGACAGAGATAGACAGACAGATAGAAAGAGAGAGACAGATTGAAAGAGATAGAATGAGGGAGAAAGATAAAACACCATTGTGTATGACACCATGTTTCAGAGTTCCACAAGCTGCAGAACTAATAGGAATATGTTCAGTGACTGTATATTGGTATATATATTATAGAACAATAATAATAAACAATGTTTTGTATTGTTTGTTTTTGTAAACAAGTTTTGTAAACAATATATTGATAATTATGTTTGTGTGCTTATTGTGTTGTATACAACGAGTGTATATATGTACATTGCACCTTACTTTGGTCTCATAGGCCACATAAGTTATGTGAAAAAATCAAATAGTGAAAAAACAACAAACCTTCAAATACTGTACAAGTAAACTAAAGTTTACCGGGTGAGCGGCAGTCGCCGCTGTTGCCATACGCGGCTCATTTTCTGCAAACTTCATGCATCCATATCTCCGTAAGTATTGATGGTAAATTTTTTTTGTTTATCCTATAATGTTTAGAAAAAAAAACTCTATTTTTTCATAAGAAAAAATAATTTTTTTTTTTTTTTAAATTTGGCCGACCCTGAGAACGAGTTTCGGAGAGGGCCTGTCGACCCTCAAAGGGTTAAGGGTTAAGTGGATGTGACTTGACCTGACTAGGTGGGGTCATTGGTTTAAGCCGGGAGGTGACTTGGACCTGCATCACATGGGCCAGTAGGCCTGCTGCAGTGTTCCTTCTTATGTTAACAGTGTCAACATTTTTAATTTAGGACATTATGACAATGAGAGGGTTAATAATAATTTAGGTTTTTGGGATTGTGTTACATAGGTGTTGTAGATATTGGTTGTGTTTCTGAATCTAGTTATCATTATGTTAGTCGCTGTGTTCTCTGATCCTCTCTGGAATATGTTGAGGGATATGATCACAGAGGGCAAGGTTGCACATTCAGGCAGAATCAAAGACAGATTTGACATTGCTGTAGAGTGTATTCCAGGCATCTGTGAGGAACACCTGAATAGGCTTTCTGAAAGTATGTTCAGAATGAAATTCAGGTGGAGGGGATCTGGAGCCACTGTCTTGGCTTTGCAGGATTGGAGGAAATTCCTTCAGTTCCTGAGTCTGTTCCTTGCATACTGTTTTATGAAATGGTGGGAACAGCCTACCAATAGTGACAAGTAGCTGACATGTCAATGCTTTGAAGATCTTTGATGGGTTTCTAGAGCTTTCCTACTCCAGCCCAGTGAGATCTTTGATGGGTTTCTAGAGCTTTCCTACTCCAGCCCAGTGAGATCTTTGATGGGTGTCTAGAGCTTTCCTACTCCAGCCCAGTGAGATCTTTGATGGGTTTCTAGAGCTTTCCTACTCCAGCCCAGTGAGATCTTTGATGGGTTTCTAGAGCTTTCCTACTCCAGCCCAGTGAGATCTTTGATGGGTTTCTAGAGCTTTCCTACTCCAGCCCAGTGAGATCTTTGATGGGTTTCTAGAGCTTTCCTACTCCAGCCCAGTGAGATCTTTGATGGGTTTCTAGAGCTTTCCTACTCCAGCCCTGTGCCAGGCTTGTCTGGTGCTTGCCTGGTCAACTAGGTGTTGACTGATGGTACATTTTCACCTAAGACTATTGATTAGCCAAGTGATGGCTGTTAAAATAGGTCAGACTTCATAGTAGTATTAGTGAAGCTTGGAATAACATGAACATGCTGGAGAGGCTTGGATTTTTTGGCAGAGACAGTAGTATAACTGTAGTATATAAAACTGATTTTATATTATTGCCATCTCATCAGAATATGGATCACATACTACAGACAAAGACTTCAAAGATTAATTCATTACATCTCAACATTGGTGATGATTTATTGTAATTTATTTTTTTTGCCGAAACTTAATTTGTAAATAACAAAGCATTCTAATTGCCTGCCTTTTTTCTAAATTTAGTATTAAGTTGCTGTTTTTATGGAGGACTCCATTATATGTAAAGAAACTAATAGTACTTATTTGAGATAAAAAAGTAATAAGTATTTGTTTGTTTAGGTGGATGGGTGCACAGCGTCAGTTTTTCTGGTGATGGTAACCGTGTGTGTTGGGTCGGCCATGATTCAAGCCTCACTGTGGCTGATGCTGGCAAGGAAATGGCTAAAACCCAGCTGAAAACTGAGTACTTACCCTTTACTTCTGTCACCTGGGTCTCACTTAACTCACTGGTTGCAGTGGTAAGTACTTGAGCACTCAGCCACATAAAATATTTGATAATAACATCACTCATCTAGTGTGTTTTCACTTAGCTGATCATTTTTAATGGTAATATTAATGTATTTTGACATAATTTCTAGACTATTATGAGAAATCTTTCTTTCAACACACTGGCCTTATCTCACTGAGGCAGGGTGGCCCAAAAGGAAAAACGAAAATTTTGCCTTTTACATTTAGTAATATATACAGGAGAAGGGATTACTAGCCCCTTGCTCCCGGCATTTTAGTCGCCTTTTACAACACCCATGGGTTACGAAGGAAGAATTCTGTTCCACTTCCCCATGGAGATGAGAGGAAATAAACAAGAACAAGAGCTAGAATGAAAATAGAAGAAAACCCAGAGGGGTGTGTATGTATATGCTTGTACATGTATGTGTAGTGTGACCTAAGTGTAAGTAGAAGTAGCAAGATGTACCTGAAATCTTGCATGTTTATGAGACACAAAAAAGACAAAAGCAATCCTACTATCAAGTAAAACAATTACAGGTTTCCATTTCACAATCACTCGGCAGGATGGTAGTACCTCCCTGGGTGGTTGCTGTCTACCAACCTACTACCTAGATTATGAGAAATATTTGTAGATAATATTTTCTGACAGGATAGTCACAAAAGCTACATTTGCTGCTGCTATGGGAATCCCTGCAAGACCCGCCTGGAGTATATGCTTTATTCACTCCAGAACTCCTCCCTTGGGCCTCAGCAGGGCCTTTTATGGTCTTATGCTCAATATAGGGGCCACTTCATCACTACCCACTTTGGTAGTTCCCAGTTATAGTCAACATCACCTGGAACTCTGACAGAGTCCCACATTTTAGCTGGCATTGAAAACATAACTGAATAAAGTGGAGGACAAACATGAGCATTCCTGGGGCCAAAATTCAGGAATATATTTTTCTAATAAAAAAATAGTTTTCTGCTATAGAAACCCAGGGGCCCCACCTGGAAACATTACATCACTACCACACAGTTGAGGAGGAAGCTGTAAAATTGTGTTGGGCTCCCAAGGGGGCTAGTTGTGCAGACTATAGCTCAACCAGAGAGAAAGGTGATTTAACTAGACCACAAAGAAGTGTGCTAGTCCAGTGTGTGAAATGATCTCTAAATAGGTCCCTGAGTGAAGTCCATACTGGGAACAGGATGATCAGGTTGACTGAGGAATGGATCAACCCTGCCATTGCATGCATACCATGCACCAGAACGAGCAAGTGGAAGGTACTTGGCACACCGCCACATGTGCATGACTTACCAGTGATAGAGCCCAGATATTGACTTGACTAAGAGTAGATATCACTTTGCCCGACAGTGAGGCGAAGTACTGGTACTCAAAATGTTTGTGCTGGGAGAAGCACCTCAGAGTGACGGAGGCCTGATTATAGGTCTCGGCAGAAGATCTTTGACTTTGTATTTAAGAATTAATTCAACATTAGCTCAGATGCAGTCCAGAGATGCAATGTCCCTGGATAACCCACCACCTAGGGTACCCTTCCTACTATAAAACATATACATAGGTAATATTTCTGTTGAGAGTAGTATCAAAATAGGAAGAGTTTATAAGGTGCCTATAGGATGTGTAGTACATCTAGACTTGCCCTAATGCTGGCAGACTCTTGCTGGGGCACCTGCAAAGAGGAAAAAGTGGGAATCTGCAAGACTTCTGATACATCTGTGGCTGTGGTCCAGTATACTGATCCCCAACACATACCTGAAGAAAAACAAAGAAACAAATGTCTCACTTGGGGAAAGGGGGTAAAAGCCCTTGAAGCCCTGAAAGCCCCTGAAGCCTGGTATGCTCCAGAAGGAAATCTTGCTGAACATGTGCAGGCAGTGAACATAACACCTGATGAATAGTGCCTGGCTGAAGAGCTGCAAGATGTTGAATTAATGATGAAATGCAGGCTGCTATGGCCAGGGAATCCACATGACCATGAGAGACATGGGCCAGTCTGACTAGGGAGGGAAGGGCTCAGGGTGCCACCAACAAAAGAGAACCCCAGGACCCACCCTGAATAGGGGTGAACACAGCCAGAGTGCTCAACAAGGCACAAGAGGTCATAGATGCCTCTCCACTTCTGATGGGAGGCTCCAAAGAGAATAGAAGTTGTAAGTGGAACCTACAGTATACCAGAAGCTGAGAGCCTGGAAAGGTCATTCCCAGATGCATGCTGTAGTAAAGTATCAGTGGGACCTAAGATAGACGAACACAAAATGGGTGAGCACCCATTGTCCAAGGTAGAAGAAAGAAAAAAGCCTGGCAATAGTAAACAGTAGATGTGGAGAGAAGCATAAAGCCAAGAATGAGAATGGCAACTACCCCAAGCAAAATGTAGGGTGCTGGTCCAAGTCCAAGAGACAGCCATGAACATAAGGTCAACTTACCATGAGGAAAGAGGTTGAAATAAAGTAGAGGTTTCAGATTTGGGATGAGGTGCAGTATTTCCTGCTATAGAGATGATGGGGAATAACTTTTGGAAAGCAGGGTTAAGTCTTGAGGACAAATGAGAAAGCATGTCATCCAAGTATTCACATGTCATCCAGCAAACAGCAGGAAACAGAATGAATATAGTCAAATTAGACTAAGGAAAGGAGTCCAGCCCTCTTTCCCTGTGGCCCATGAAAACAGCCTGACCAATCTGGAACTGAAGTGGGTCCCAAGGGGCATGGGGTAGGGACTCAAGTACAGGCTAAGTGTCCAAAGGTGAAGAATGAAATCCAGTAGTCACACTGCTGGCCTCCAGTTTTCTGTGTGACATTACACAAGGAGCAGCCATTGGTCTGCCAGCCTAAATGACTTGTGGGGGCCTGTGCAGGGAAGAAGGGTCCAGGAAATCAAACTAGGAGGAGCAAGGAATGATTATGCCTGTGGAGCAGCCAAAGATGTAAAGGACAAAGTGAATTACCAACACTTTAGGACATCAAAAAACCTCTGCAAAACCACGGAGTCACTCTGTTGTAGGACCTGCTAGGACTAAGTCACAGTAACCATCCTTGGAAATCCTGTAGGTACAGAATTTCAGTGATATCCACCAAGTCAGTTCCTCATTTGGTTGACAAGTTACTGGCTAAAATCATCCATACTTTATCAAGCAGTGGTAAAAGAAGGCTCTGTTCTGAGCATAAGATGCACTGTGGATCCTGCTCTAGCAATAGAGGTGAATTTGAATTTGAATGACACATTGCATATTCCTAGTGTGGGCACTGGGACTATATTACCGTAGAAAATAAAATACTGTACAAATTTACACATTAGGACTGTACATTTACAACCAAACCATCTTATTTCTTATTATCTTCACAGTTCATGAATAAGAAATCTATATTTCACACTTCATCCTCTGCAGTATATGCTTTTGCCATAAATATATTTTTCAGGGGCATGGGTGTTGTCCTATGTTGTACTCAGTTGATGACACTGGCAAGTTGACCTTTGTCACCAAGTTAGATGTGGCCCAGAAAAAGGAGACTGGCAGTCTAAGGTATGATAATGCTTTAATAAGAAGTTTTCTAGTTTTATGGTACTTTTCTTTATAAACACATTATCCATATCCCACTTAGGTAGGGTGACCTGTAAAAGAAGAAAAACTTTCACCATCACTGCTGTGTCAGAGGCACATTAACATTATAGTTCAGATCCCCCTCCAACTTGCAGTATTCCCACCCCTCCTTCAGAGTGCAGGCTCTGTACTGCCCACCTCTAGGACTCAAGTCTGGCTAACTGGTTTTCCTGAATCCCTTCATAAATGTTACCTTTTTCATGCTTCAACACCACGTCTAAGTCTTGAAAACCACTTGCCTCCACTCACTCGTATTGCAAATACCTGTTGGATTTCCAACAGGTGTATAATGTAGGACTTCTCAGCCATGGGGGTTGAGAAGCCCTACATTATACACAGTAGGGTTGTTAAGAATTTTTCCTAGAATTGTGATGCCATCTACTTCTGCTTACTGGTGATTAAAATGATCATTTGAAGGTACAGGGTTATACAACTATTAAAATCACCACTGTAGCCACTAACAGTTTAGCATGTATTTCAGGTACACATCTTGCTTGTTCATCTCCCCAAACTGGCAGTCATAACCACAGGAATATATGGACTCTGAGGTGTTGATTTATAAATGGATTAATTATGTTTTGCCAGTACTTTATATTTTTTTCATATTCAGATATTTACAGTGACATACTGGTAGCTAACCAATATTGTGGCTGTTAGATGGTGAGGAGAAAAGGATACTTGATGAGCAAGAGAGAGAAAGATTCAGAAGAAGTTTTTTAAATTTAGAGTAGGTAGAAGAAAGATTGGAAATCGATGGCAGAAATTGAAACAAAGATGGAAAATGAAAAAGTGTGAATGACCTTGAAAATGAATTAAGGCAGCTGAGGCACAAAGTAGGAAAGGCTTAGAAGCCAATCAGCTAAAGACATAAACAGTAGTGGTAAAGGATGTGAGCAGCCATCATATGTTAAGCGAGTCAGGAGGGAGAAGAAAGTAGAAATGGTAAATGACCCTTGAGGAAATAAAGGTGGAGAGGAAAACTTTGATGAGACAAGTAGGGAAGGATGTGAGGTATAGAGTTTCATTAGTATTCAGATTAAATTAAGTAATGGAACTTGAGAGGAAAATGAAAAGACAGGAGGAACAAAAAGTTGAAGATCTGATAGTAGAAAAGGTAGTTGTAAATGAGACTAGCAAAACCTGTTTTTTCAGGCATGTACATATTTAAAGGGGAAAGACAGGGCCATTACAAGTTCTGTTTATGTGCTCAGAAACAAGAAACCATGTTATGATAAGAAAATTGAATCTAAGGGATCTCTCAAATTCAACACAGTCTAATTCTATGGATGACAGGACAAAGAAGGAAAGAAATGCGAAAAGGGAGACACTGGAAAAGAGAAGGAAGCAGCAGAGGAATGGAACAAAGGGAAAAAGTTCAGGAAGTGCCCAACATTCCACAGAGAATCCTTGTTCGGTATCTTGAGAAGTAAAGTGAGCAAGTAGTATGTCCGGAGAACAGTAAGAAATAGAATAATCAGAGTTTGGTACCCAAATGTAGATGGCGTCACCAGTTAATGTGAGACCTTGAAATTAGTAACAGAATAGAAAAAATCTGATATTATAGCTATTACAGAGATAAAACCCAGGATTAATTACAAATGCAATATTTCCAGAGAGCTAACAAATACTAAGAAAATAAATGTAAAAAAAAAGAGGTGAAGGGAGAGTAGGACTGATAATCAGAACCCAATGAAGATTTAAGGACCTGGGAAATCTGGAAACTGGGGATTTGAGGGAATGATATAGTAGGTACTGTAATGTCTAGAGAGGCAAGAGTAACAGTGGTAGTGATGTGTAATCTATCACTAAATTACTGGACAGTGATTTATATATTGGGAACTGTGGCAGAGAGAGCAAAAAGAAGCAAAGATAAATGCCTGGTACCAGGAGATTTGAACCAAAAGATTGACTGGGAAAACTGGGACCCCCGAGGAGGACTAGGAAGTCCCTAGAGTAGTGATGAAATATTTTCTGTGGCAACATGTGAAGGAAACAAGAGTGAGGGGAGGAGATGAGCCAGCAGAACTCAACCTGGTTTTAATATAGAATGATTATGACATAACTGGAATTACTTGTGGAGATCCTCTAGGTGGTAGCAGTCATGTGATACTAAGTTTTGAGTACCTTGTAGAAATGGAAGGAATTGGACAACAGAAACTGGGACTACGGGGGGGGGGGGGACTAATAAAATGAGAAACTTTGAGAGAAAAGCGGTGAGAAAGTGAACTAGAGGGCAAAACTGTACAAGAGACAAACAAAAGATTTGTACCAAGCATGAAGAAAGTAAAGAAGAAAAACAGAGCCCATGGTTCAATCATGACTGCAGAGAGAATAAAGGGAGGAGCAAGAAGACCTTGAAGTACAGGTACACCACCAATTTTCTGGCACCTTTAGTTCCATAGCCTTGCCAGATTATCCATTATGCTGGACCAGTGGAGGTTATGTAATGATAATTCAGCAGCACACTTCAGATCCACTAATTATACATCCTGTGTCTCTAAAGAACGATGGTTTATTAATTACTGTACATGTAAAGAGTGTTGCAGTACTACCACTCCAAAAGTGCCAAATTTTGGAATTGTATTGGAACTGTATAGCTAATCTTTTTAAACATTTCATTCAAATGAAGGTATTTCATGTGCTTTGATATTTTCCTCTAGTTTTTCATGCATAAAGTAAACATTCATTAGGTCCTGTTCCATCTCAAGGTAGGTTGTTCTAGCTCTTTGATTAATTCACCAGACAACTTAATTAACTTGTCATTAGTAAGTTTTTCAGCTACACCACTGACACTTGCATCTTTCTTAGAAGCCAGAGCTAGGGTTTAATGTAAGTAAAATAAGCTAGAATTGCAAAACATCAAGGGATCACCAATTACAGTGTAAACAGTTCATGCTACATGCAACACCATCTGTAGCTTCCCAGTAAGCTAGTCTGGTGGTTGCAGGAATTTCAGGTGCCTTGTAATTTTGCCCAGACTTAGAGGTGTCAGACCATCAGTTCCCAGAAAATCAGTGACATATCTGCAAAACTGGAAAACAAGCAAGATAGTCAAAAACAAATTCACAAGAATAAGAAGGAAATCTGAAAGACAACTTCAAAATGAGACAGCATCAAAGGGCATAACAAATCCACATTTACTCCACAAACACTTAAAAATAATGTGAAGGACCAAAAGATTCAAAATTATTTTTACAGAAGAAAGTGGAGAGTTCCCAGAAGGCATTGTAGTCATGCTAGATCAGCATATACTAGAAAACATAAACACAGCCAAGTAGAAGTGATGACATTGCTAAGTGAGCATGATGTAACACAAGCAAAGGAACAAGATAGCATATCTCCGTGGGTGCTGAGAGAAGGGACAGAACCACTGTGGGACCCAGTAACAAAGAAAATTGGATAAAGGTAAATGTGATCCTCCATACATAAAAAGGTAGAAAGCAAAGAGGCACAGACTAATATCTTTAATATGCATACTGTCAGAAATCTTGGAGAGATTATTTATTACTTACACAAAACTTGCATGTATTTACTGATGAAAAATCGTGTCTTACAAATTTGCTGGAGTTCTTCAACAGAGTCATAGAGATAAAACAAGAAAGACATGGCTGAGTTTACTACATCTTCTTGGGCTTCAGGAACACATTTTGTATAATACTACAGCACCAATTAGTTCAGAAATTAGAGGAACAGGCAGGATTAAAAGGCAGAATGTTCTAACAGATATGGGAGTGTGTGTATGACAGAGTGCAAAGAGTATCATTAAGAGATAAGACATCAGAAAAGGAGCAAGTAATGAGTGGGGTTCCACAAGGATTGTTACTATAACCACTACTGTTTCTAATATACATGTACATGGATGACTGCCAGAGGGAATCAAGTCCTGTGTCATTTTGCTGTTGATGCAAGATTAATAAAAGGAATAAGGTCAGTTAAGGATGGTGATCAACTTCAGGGAAACCTCAAAAGATATATAAAAATGGTCAGTGATGACATGGAAATGTGTGGAGAGGGTTGACGTGGTCTTATTGGGCTGAGGTGGATGCAGAGTTGTAAATAGTTGATGGTTGTACTGGAGTGCTTGAGTAGTCTGTAATTTGTCTCTTGTCTGTTTAACCCTGCAGTACTTTATGCAGCTGATGATTAGGCATCATTACTTGTTCCAGACTCTGCTTCACAGCCTTACTTTTAGATGTGTCTCAATCCTTTTCGTTGAAAAAGTCTGCAAATTTACCAATAACATGGAATTGCTTTTGTAACTTTTAGTGTTAACAGTTATGTACAGGTCATACCTCTTCCTCTTGTATCTGCCTCTCTTTCTCCTCACTGGGAATTGATCTCCTTCAGCATTTCTTCTCCAGTTGCTTATTCATCATTCTTTTGTAACAATTCAGTTATGTGTTTTCATGCATATCTTCAAAGCACTCAAATCTTGATGTTCTTGCCAAAGCCACAATCTCCTGGACTTGACTCCTTACTGAGGGAAAATGAGAGAAGTTGATAAATTAGACACATGTGCAACTCTTGGGTATCTTTATTGAGGAAACGTTTCGCCACACAGTGGCTTCATCAGTCCATACAAAGGAGAATCTTGAAGAACAGGAGGAGAATGAGGTAATCAGTCCCTCAACCTTGAGTCGATGTGGTCAGTCCATCAATCTTGAATAGAATACGGCATAAGTGCGAAGAAGGAGCTTATAAACCGTTGGTAGGAGAGGTGCAGCAGTCATAGGTGGTGTCACATTTGTTCAATGTGGAAGTAGGTTGTGCCCAAGAATTAGGCAAGCGAAGAATTCCCAAGTATTAAGATCCCAAGAAGTTGCAGTGTCTGACAGGTTTGTAGATGAATGGTTCAGAGAACCGACATGTTGATAAATTAGACACATGTGCAACTCTTGGGTATCTTTATTGAGGAAACGTTT